AAGATGTCAGCATATGCACCAAACCACCCTTTCAACTTCAGACTCAGGTCTGTGGTGAAGAGTGAGGCACATCCTTGGCCTTTTCATCCAAGTGGTGCTAATCACACTTTTTTTTTTTTTTAATTAAAGTTCTTCTCTTGTCTATGAATTGCATCAATTTAGTGGGACTCATAAGAAGAGCTTTTGTCCCCTGCAGCCTATTATTTTAATTGGGCTCGGGATACCTGCATTAACAATTGAGCAAAGGCATTGTGGCCAAGTGAATTGGCCCCCTGAGTTGCTCTTGTGTCATTCTATGTGACATCATACAAAACCACATTTCCCACTCACCCCACAAAGTCATTTATCCTTGCATCACCTCATCCTTGTGCTGCTGTTCCACAATATCCACATTATTATAGCTTGCATGGATGACTTGTCATCTGGGGTGAAAATCTAGGGGTTGAGATGTTTTATAGGGTATTAACCAGCATAAACTAAAAAAAAGGTGAGGTGTCCCAGCCTGAGGCCTTACATCAGTCCAAGTACTCTTTGATTCAACAGAGACCTTCATAGTAAGGCAGTATTTCTGCAGCATTCTTCAGGCAGTGTCAGCCTTCCCTCATCCTTCTCAGAAGTTTCTGGTACTCAGCATCCACTTCCCCCTCTCCCCAGCGCCACTGTATTTTATGCTGTGTTGGAGACCTGTGTTGACTTCATCACCCCACTAAGAGAGGGGCAGCTTCGTAGTGAGGACCTTGCAGGTACGTCCTCTCCACAGCAGTGGAGGAGGGCATCAAGGAGAGCTCCTACCCCTGCGTACAGGAGAAAGACTACAGTTGTAGGCTGCTCGGCCCCTTCTTGCAGGAAGCTCTGAAACTGGAGCACGGCATGCCTTGGCTGTTCTCTCTGCAGTTCTGATTATGCCATCTTCCCTAGATCACAGCTGGCCTGGAAGCAGCCAACTGCTGGTTCAAACCCACGTTTGACAGCCTGCAGCTGGAAGTTGTGAAAAACCACCAGCCAACAAACCCTGAAGAGAACAGCTCCAAGAAAGAGGCAAAGAAAGCAAGCGCATTCATTTCAAAGGAGGAAGCAAAGATACTTCCCTCAACTATTTGGTAGCTTATTATCAGCCAGGATTTCAGCTTCCTAAATATGCTTCTGAAGTTCCTTAGACAGGGATTGCAAACAGACCCCTCTTCTAGGTTAGGTTGTTTCCCCCTCTGTTGCCAAAGGACATATTTAAGCAGCAAAGAATGTTTCATGTACAAGATAGCTTGAAGGCACTGTCTGTACTTAGGAAGGTTCTACTGCACATACTTCACATCTTGCTGACTTGTCTGAAAGCTAACAGCTAGCAGAATTTCTTCTCTGTGTTCACCTGTTTCAGCAGTTCACCTTCCCCTCCCCCACACCTTTGACAGATACCTTTTCAAAAGCTGTGCTTACCTTTTTTGCAGAGATTCATCAGCCTTTTCCATAATTGGCAGTTCTTATATAGCAACGTAATTAGTTTTTTAGAGATGTATGTATTAAACCGCTAAAACTTTAATCTCTTCTTTAGCAATGACAAAGGTTCCCCAGTCATCAGCTTCATAAAACGCTGCATCTTCTCCCAGGAGAGAAACTATGTAGAGCTTCACCTCCTTGGACAGCCAGACAGGGACCCAGCACCTCCAGCTCGCCACCAGGAAGGCCCTATGAGCTGGGCAGGAAATGACCTCATGTGGCTGAGTGATTCCCAGCCCAGGGAGAGCAGCACCATACTGCCAGGAGACTCCCTCCTAGCATGCAGGTACTGGGAGAATCGGGAACTTCACTTCTCTGACATTAGGCTAGATAGGTTTGTTTCTCACTGTGGAGGCCATGCAAATGAAAGGTGCTCATAGGGCAGCCATGTAGAGACTTAGGAATGCTTGTTTAAATCATAAACTCTGATTTCAATTAACTCATACCTTTCACCTTGTCTTTTTTGGCTCAGGTGCTTTGCATTGTGAGGCTGATGTCAACAAAACTACTGTTTACAGCAAATTAGTTATTCTTTACGTATCATTACCACAAACTGCATGCTGGTGGTATGCCACAGCTTGGCTTTAATCGCTTTTCTTTTACCAGCTTTAGACTAAGGCAGGTGCTATCAAAGCAGACCTCGGGCTGGTTTGCAGAGGGTTCGGTGGGCTGAATAACTGAAGGCAGAGTCATGGGTCTGTGGCTGGATGCTGATGTGACTGGGACAGGGAGGAGCTGGCAGGACTGGCTGCTAATGTAGATGATATCTGGGTTGTAAGAGAACATAAGCCTTGGGCTATTTTAGGAGCATTTAGGTGTGTGATGTCACACCACACATCACTTTACCTTTGTAAGAATTAGTGGAATTTATTCAGGCTATCCTACTGTGGGATAACACTAGGAAAACAGATAGCTTGTGTCATAGTATGTTGAAGACAATTATGACGTGGACTGTTTTCCTGCTTTTTTGACTGAGGATCAGCTCATCTTTGTTTGTCCTGGCTTACTCTTCTACGTGCTTTCAATACAACCTGGCTTCAGTGCAGGAGGTGCTGCTGCACTCTGACCTGCTTGTTTCTGTGGGATCCATGCATGTTATCTGCAGTACTTGTTTAGTGGGAAGGTTTGCATACCTCTGGAGCCTGGGAGCAGCCCAAGGACACACTGGAATTAGCTCATTCTGCTCCTCCAGAAATTTGCTCCTAAACTAATTTACGTGATAGGACTCTGGACTAATTCATGGCAGTCAGAGCCTCTCCTCCTTTTAGCAAGCTGAGCACACTGTTAAAGCTAAAGCACCCCTGATCTTCATGGAATTGTGCTGCCTAAAAGCAGGCCTATGCACTAGGGCTTTAGGTTTGTCCCCATCAAGCTGGTTCCTTCAGAACCCAACTGGCCTGTATGCCACACCTGCTCCATAAAGCCACTTGGGTGGCTTAGCACAGCTCTGCTCTCGCTCTCCGCAGCGCCCTCAGGCAAACAGCAGCCACAACTCTAATAGTTCTGCTTGCTCTGAACTCAAACTGTAATCACAGCTGAAAAACAGTCTTCTCAAACAGGTTGTACATTTAGTGCCTGTGTTCATAGCAAATGCTTACGAAGGGACAAATTATTGTGACCTTTCCCTGGTCAAAAGGACAAAGCATACAGCAGCTTCGCTTGTGTGAACTGCGCGTTGGCAGGATGACAGTACCACCCACCCCTGTGGGAGTCTGTACCAAGGCAGGGTACACCCCGAGGGCTGGCTCTTCACCCTTTCCTTGTTCCAGGCTCCCCTGCTCTCTAGGGCCATGCATGTGCGGTTAATGCGGCTGTGGCCATTAAACTTGGCACTTGTAGTTGTGTAGTGACTGTCAGCTCCAAGGCCAACACATCCTGTTGCTTCTTCTAAACTTATTTGAGGTTTAGGGTGGAAAGCGGCCAGATACAGTGTAATTGTGAAGGATTACTGTATCCCAGTACCTTCAGCTTTGGCTATGCCTGCTTTAGGGAGTGATGCAGCGTGGGAGGCCACATGCAGAATGAAAGAGCTGGTCCAGCTGTCCTGGACATGTCTCGGTTTTTACTTTATTTGCTCCAGTCTAATCCTGCTGACTGCTCACTAGCACCTGGAGCACTTCTGGAAGTCATCTACCTTGTTTTCATCTGAAAGCAAACTGGTTTGTCTGCTCAGAGCCTGCTCCGCGTGTAAACCATAGCAGGGCAAGTGGCAGCTCCCCCATTCAGAACAGCGGAAGCACATGACAGACCGGATCTTGTTATTTTTGTCTTTAAACAGTAATTTCAATAAAGTTGTAATCCAACACGGCTGTCACCACAGCTCCCACCTGCAGGATCTGTAGTTGAGGTCTGCTCTTCTAGCCTCTCCCATGGATTGGTAGCTACTAAGCCTCTCAAGTTAGAGTAACTGTTGTATTTAAAAATTAATTTTCTAAGCAGCAGAAAGGTTGGTTGTTTTTTTCTCTTGTAAGTTTGTGGCCTTCAGTGAATGGCAAATGGCTTTCTATGCTCATCCATGCTGGCATCAGGAAGCACAACTGAAAAGGTGTGATTCGGTTTCTAAGACTATCGGATGCTTTTATGCGTGCCTTGAGTTAGTGTTCTGTATAAAATAGTTCTTCAGCAATAAACAGCGAACACAATTACCGTGGTTAAACCAAGTAGTTTGACAAACTGATTCTCTTAGTGAGGCTTATGGAATATTCTCAACAGGGAATAAAATTGCCTTACCTTTAAGATCACTACTCTATGATAAAGCATTGCATCCTGCTTCTCCTGCTGGGTAGGAAGCAATATGCTTCCACTCTCATGTTACTGATCAACTGTCAGAAGTAATCAAAAACCCAAACCGTTTGCAAAAGATGTTAATTAATAAGCTGTATGATATTATTATATTAATTTTTGCTATAAGCCATTCAGAAGGATATTGTGTTTGCTGAGAATGAGTGAACATTATCATTAACCTCGGAATTTTTATTAACAAGTTCAAAAGAAGAACAAAGGCCACAATGATTTCAGTAAAACAGAAATCAGTATCCTTCAAACAGAACAGCTGCTAGGAAGAGGAACTAGAAAATTCTGAGTACTTTAAAGGTCCTGAAATACTGAGTTATCCATCCTCTAGGGATTAGTATGAGCCCATTTCTTCTATGTTACAGCAATTTAATGCTGCATATTAAAAAACCCTTCTCCCCAGTGAATATGGCTCCTTGAACAGCCTCACTGGTAACTGGTTGTAATATTGCACATTGTAAATGTTCCTTAAAATCCCCACAACAGGTGCTGGGCTTCACCTGTCACTGTTCGATCCTACGTACAAGACTGAATACCGCGTTCAGAGCGGCGCATCAAGGGCGCAGGCCTCATAGCAGACACACTTGAGCACGTCAGGTTGTACTCTGAACAGGCAGTTTCTGACCGTACGTGACACAGTTCAAATGGCAGAAGCAGCCCACAAAACTACGTAGGGCACAGGCCAGGTCTCTGACCGACTGTGGAAAAATCTGCACATAAAACCGGTTTCCCCAGCACTGCGGAACACAAAGGTTAACACAAAGAGTCAATTCCACCTGTCACAAACCTCATCATACCACTGCGTAGGTATACAACATCTTCTGCGCCATCCTTGTATTTCCACTGCTCTGATAAATGAGTGACAGGTTGAAGGCAGTGTCTCTTCTCAAGTCTGTCTGATCAGTTTCTATTCCCTGTAAAAATGATGATTTAACAAAGTTATCTACATGTAGAAATAGTATAAAGTTGAAACATGAGTAGCAATTACAGTGGAATCAAATCACATCTTCGTGGCTTATATAGGCTTTCAGTTACTAGTATTCCTTGTTCCCTCCCTCTTCACCAAGTTCCCACTTGTTAGTCACCAGTTACATAATTACATGCTCAAAATATGAGCTAGAAATTAGGTATGAGCCAGCTCATAAACCAGGAAACTACAATCTTCACCTGTCTTTGTATGCAAAGAATTTGCTTCTATAATCAGAATGTGAATGCTGCTGTCTTCCACACAGACACAAGGTTGCTGCACGGGGCTCCCTGTGCTCACCAACACCCGTGTTTCTAACTCGGCCTTCCCATTTTCTGAATGCATTTGGGATTTTTCTACCCACCCTTGCCGAAGCTAGGCAAAAATGAAGTTGTAAATGTATGACACATCCATTAAAATGATCTGATACAGCTCAATTAGAGCAGAACTATGGCTCAGGTGCATTTAGGCATTCGTAACACTGATGCAGGTTATTCCAGAGCACTCTTTATAGCATGGGGGAGTATACAGACCTTCCAGTTATGATTTATTGCATGAAATATGTATGAAGTTCAGCTATGTGTTCAGGTAAAGTTATTTAGCAGCCCTTTCTGCTGCTTCTTCAGCCTATTAGTAAACCTTCCCACTTTATAAACCTCTGAAATTAACACATGCATAAATGTGTATGTGACAACAGATTTGGGCTCCCAAGGACAGGGAATTACAATACAAATTGAAGGAAACTCAACTACACAGATTTTATGTACCTGCTCTAAATTACTAACATTGACCTGACTTCATTCTCTGTCTGTCGCCTGAAAAGACACAGTACCTCTAGGGTGAGAGGAGGAAGTTCAAGTACTCGCTGGTAATAGTGGATGGCCAGGTGCAGTAATCCCAGCTGGTGGAGGCCACGGCCGAGGTTGTAGAAAGACTCCTGACATGCTCCACGCAGGTCCAGGTACCGATGAAGGAAGGAGAAGCCCTACACAGATACAGTGCACATTTGTCAAGGTTCCCTTTAAGAGGACGGCAGCAAAATATGCTGCAGAACACGTGTTTCAATGTACCTACTTAAACACTTGATTCATGCTTCCCCACTAAACCACATGCAAAGCGGAGGCAAAAAGTAAGGCACATTTGATTGCCGAGACCATGAAGAGTGTGCTCTGCCAGCCTCACTGCCACTGGTAACAATGGGTAGGTGTTGCTAACGAACTGAACACACAGTTACTTTGTGTAGCGACTTGGGGCACTTGCTTGATAAATACAGAAGTATGTCTGCATGTGTTTATGTAATACACACAAGTCTGGTTCATGCTGGGAAGAGCTGACGCCCTCAAAACCCATGCAGCCAAAGGACACCCCCTTCAACACGAGGGGTTCAGACACAAACACCTAAGGATCATGACTGAGGTCACCAGTATGTCACTGGTGGAATTATTTAATCAACTACAATAGGAGCAAGAGAGGATGTAAAAATACTGAGTTCAGTAAGCAAGAAATGAGAGAAAGCGGGGAGCTGCATCACCAGAGGGTAACGTAGACAGGACACAGTGCAAGTACGTTACAAAAGGAGAACGTAGCAGCCTCTAAGAAAGGCAGGTTGATTACAGAAAGAAGTGGATAAAAATATTAAAATTAGGCCAAAGTTGGCAAGCTCAAAATGTCTGAAGTTGGATACTGACATAATGGGTCTTGTTTTAGAGTAGCTGAGGTCCTACAGCTTTTGTCCAAATTGGTGCGAGCTGCAATTTCAGAAGTCATGAGAGCTCAGGATCCTCACCTTATTCTGCTGACTCTGAGCTCAGCGACCACAGGAATTAAAAGGTATTTCAAGTTAGTGAAAGGACTTGGTAGAGAGTAGAGGGAACTACTGTCAAGACTCTGTTTGGGAATAATCAGCCTGTGGTTCGTAACTGGATCTGGCAGACACAAGAAAACTTTGAATAAGGAAGCTGAAAAAGTTGAGGATAGCCTAAACTGGAGTGCTAAGGTCTTTACAGAGAGAGCTGTAAGGGGCACCTAAAAGGGCGAAAAGGAAGTTGGGGGGAAAAACCCCTCACTTTCTAAATCTAAAGTTTGGTTCAACAACGCAGTTTACGAGACATGTCTACAGAGGGCACGTGGCATAGATCCTACTCTACAGCACTTGTTCCCAGCAAGGCAGGGCAAGGAAGAAAATCCAGACTACAGCCGTTGAGACTGAAATTAGTAGTATTTTTACACACAGCTGGGAGCTACTAACATCTGTGTGAGTAACTGTTGTATGCGCATAGCAGAAAAGCTGCATTTAACTAAAAGGGGAGGAGATTCAGATGGGTATAACTGTAGTTCAAAAGCACACTCATCTGTCTTCATGTTTCACCACTTCCCTCTTTTGAAATGCTGTATTCATTACAAAAAGTTAATTAAACAGAGCATGTTGTGGCCAATAACTGTCTGCTAGATACAAAGCCAGGAAACACTTCAGGTAAAAATAACACACTACCTCACCTGTACTAGAAGAGCATGCCTTTTCAACACGTATTTCTGAGATGCCATGTGGATGAAAGTCAAGCCAATACAAAGACTGTACAGCGGTTCATCCGGTTTTGCACGAAAGGCTTGCACATACTGTCCTGAAAGCAAATAATCAAATCAGGATGTTTGTTGTGAAAAGCATTCCTTGAGAATTTAAGTACAAAAAAGAAAATCTTCAAGTTAGAAGTGTGAACTAGGAGAAGAAACAGTTTAGTATACCTCCATCAAAATACACAGGAAAAAACATGAGAGAAAACTTTGTCTTTTCAGCACTTTATGGATTCTGAAGGAAGAACACAGACTATGTTGTAAAAACTTAAGCAGAAAACAATCAGACACAAAAGGCAGATGTGGTCCTTGCTGGGATTTATAACCTGGAGGACACACATCTTACGTGTGACATTTGGAGAGCTTGTCTGAAAGCAGTAGGTTTACTTCCAGGGCCTGCTTAAAATGTCGAACCAACTGGCTGTTTAAATTGGTCTGTCTTAAATTTTCTGTCCTTCTGGTTCTTTATTATCATTAGCCTTCAGTTATCTTTGCCAGTTGGTTATATTTGCAACGTGTCCTAAACTTGAAACGTACCAGCTAAATTTTTATTAGCAAAACTCTTCAGTGATGCTTTGATTTGTTTACAAAACAATTAAAGCACCAGACTAACACTGTGAAGCCAGCTGGAATTTTCTGATATATGAAAAAAAAAAAAGCCTTCAATTAATCTTTCTCTGAAAAAATCATTCACTTGCATATTTCTTACTATCAGAACATTGATGACATTACCAAGAGCGTGCTTGAAACTGCCTGACACAAAGGCATTATGCCCGTTTAGGACGCACAACGCGTGATTATCAGGATTTTTCAGCATTAAGCGGAGACAAAAGCGATGGTGACGGACATCCTGAGACTGCATAGTAACTTGATTGAAGATGTTCCATAGCTGAGGTTTGTTGACATTTTCCATTACCATGATTCTACAGAATGGAAAGAATACAAGAAATGAGTAAGTGCTACAGTAAATACTTTATCTGCAATAGAACCTCAACAGTTCAGGGAAGATAACAAAGAAGAGATGCTCAAGGAGCAGGTCAGTGACTGAGGCAAAGCTGAGAGCGAACGACAGAACCAAGGGTTGTGGCCAAATCAACCAACCTACTGCATTATGCATTTTTGGGAACCAGAGGCTCTCAGAAAGCTCCTCTCGTTTCAGCAGCCTTATTTGTTTCGACCAAGCTGGAAAGCATCAGCTTGCCTCCTTGAGCAGTATTTTCAGCAGTATAACTCCTCAGTATAATTCCTTAGTGGAATCATAGAATCACAGAAT